GATGAACTCGGGAAGGTAGTATGCTTACAGGTACCACAACCGTTGGCCAATCACTACCAGGCAACGGTTCAGGTTGCTATTTCTTTTGGGGAGAAGTAGATGGAAGAGTCAAGACCAAAATAAAATAGATATCCGTAGAAGTTGAATAGACACATCAGCACCACTGATTACGACACTCAGCTGCTGCCGCCCTGGCTAGGCAGCACCCAGCTAATAGGGTGCTGTCCCATCCTCGTTCCACTGGTCTCATCGACGCNNNNATCGACGCAGCAGCGAACAATCCTCTGAACCAAAACATGAAGGCCTTGTGTGACAGGTTTCCAGAAGTTCCCGTACAGGTGCTTCTGTCACATGCGCGCGTTGGATCTAGTCACATACACAACCCTGGAAAACAGGGGTAAGTAAGGTCATCAACAACGTCGACTTGATGGGCCGAAAATTTCGAGGCTTGGTTCGAATGGCCTCAAGGAATATCTGACCTACCAATCCTACTTAGACTGGGCAATTAATCCCGTTTGATGCCACTCCTCCATCTGAGTTGGAAGTTTCTCGGGAACACCGTTATCCCAAAAGGCATGACGTTTGCGACCTAGATGGGTTGTTTCCACCCGTGTTTAAGGATGGAGTTTCAGCGTTGGTCTTGGAGTTGACGAATAGTCTGGGCTCAATATAGGAGAGGGAGCAGGTTCCAAGTAAATCGTGTGAACCAGTCATCTTAGCGAATTTCAAGAAAAGTGACAGATCCCCTTGTGAAAACCACGGGGGAATTAGTGAATAAACACTGCTTCCAAACTTCTCGCTGGGGTCATACTTCGTCGACTGCCTGCTGTAAGTGAACAGTGCACGCATGAGAACCATGCTAATGGTGAACCCTTTCGAGACTGTGTAGACCACACCTTCACACTTCGGCAAATTCCGGAGCACCGAAATTCTTTTCGTAGACCCACAATCCCTACCTTTCTTGATCGGCGGTCTTCGACTCATTCGACCGCTCTGAACTCTGGTGCTGCCTCTCCAAAAAGGTGTACTCAAGAAGTGTATTTCTATATTACAATCTCGTTATGCTAATAGTCGAGCTTACGGTACTTTCTCGCCCGATTTCACCACAGAAAAGGGTGCTCGTCAGGACTGACCTCTAGCTCCGTTTCAAATTGACTTCGTTGTAGATTTAATTATGCAAACAGACCTATCCTCGTGCGAGGACAATAGCATCCATTTTCTAGCAACTGGCAGACTGTCCAATCTGGAGTGTGCAGACGACATTGTACTGCTAAATAATGTTGCAAGCGTTTCCGGATACTTTGAGTGTTAGTGATATGGCTGGGTGTCGGAAACAGTGGCGTTCATACATCTCAATTATTTTGCATCCTTATTCTACTGAAATCTTCTGTTTTCCCTAAGACTCTGCTTTCAACTTTCCTGTCTTTCTCCTTTTGTTTCAGTCTAATGGGCAGCCAAAAGACAGTAACCAAAACTGGCACACGCAAGTGCATGAGTATAATTACCACCACACAACGAACGAAACCAAGCGGAAGTCTACTGATGGCACAATAACTAGGTAATAATAGTGCACGGACGGACTAAGTACCACGGTTTTCTCTCATTTTACCCAGTGTCCGAATGATACCGAGAGCGGTCAGCTGGACACACCGAGGGGGGATGACAAAAAAGGACAGTTACTCCACTCGTATTACTTCAGAGTCCTGACAGTGAAGAGTTTTCTAGTCGAGCGCACACGCTCCCACAATTGGCCTCATACCTTTTTCACACGAATGTTTTTTACCTGGATTGAGTTTTAAGCGGTGAGTGCAACTCAATCTGGTGCATTTCGCTATGTGAAAATTATCTGGGTTCTGGGGACGACATTGATTAATAATATCATTCACAATAGCATCAATAAGCCTAATACTAGGATTAGAGCAATAAGTTGAAAACATTTCGGGAGAGTAATGGCAGATACAACAACAAAATACGTGAAAATAGGCCTGATTAAAGTTCTATTCAACCATTCCCTGCTGAAGGATAAGTCGGCTTCATCGATATCATCATCAGAGTTTTGAGGTAATGGGATATGGAATTCGTGTTCTCAAGATTGTCCTGGTTTATTTCACTATTTGGTCCCCTAGTACGATGTACGAAGGCACTTCAGAGGTCCTTATATTGAAGGTTGCACTTTTAGTGTTTGCCCGTCCAAGTACAGTCCGAAAGGCAATGACGTAATTCCAGACAAACCGGTTGCCTATTTTACAGTTTCGTCACCTCTTCCGGAAAGCCATATGGAAACACCGCGGGAGCAGCAGAGCTTATTGAGTGCCGGGCTGCGATCGACGCGTCGCACTGCAGTCAGCAGACTTACGCGCTGTTCCAGAGTGTACGGCACTAGATCAGTAAAACTCACATGCCTGCATGAGCATTGCTGCTGATCTTTGGGGCCGTTTCTTGAATGCAGCTAGGCCTGACCGGAATACTTACAATGATCAGCGCCCATCGGGGAAGATAAACAAACAAATCAGAGGGACCCAGTATCGTTTTCCAGCTAAACTTTACTGCGCAGCCATTGGGCTTTGTAAACCACACAGCGGAAACGAATTAAAAGAGACAGAAAACGTTTAGGCAGACGAAAGTGTTTGGTCCTGTTTCTAACAAGCGATTTCGTCAAACTGAATTCACACTGTTTAAACAGTCCCACGGAGATCATAATGAGAACACAAATTAGCAAACAAGCTCGTTTTCAGTGTCTTAATCACGTAATTACAACATATTAAGACACTAAAAACGAGCTTGTTTGCCAATTTGTGTTCTCATTATGAATTTACACTCTTGTCCTCAGAGTCTTTGTTTGGTGGTGCACTTGACAGAGTAAATCATTTGTCCACATTGGTGGTAGGCAGCTTTGCTGTCGTCCGGTTTAATACCACGTCTCACCTGTCGGGGCCTTATGTGGTTTGCCACTTCAAGTCAGGGGGTTTAAATTACCAGTTTCTATCAATAAACAGCAAGTCCTCGTGACTGTGGGGTTTACCCGATCTGCTGTTCATCACATCAAAAGTGTGTAATAAGAAATTGGTCAAATAGTGTGATAAAATAAACGGACAAACGGAACGTAGTCGTGAATTTAGCTTTCCCTCGTCGATAACCTTAGATATTGATTTCACAATGTTCAGTCGGCCGAACAGGAATCAGGTGAAACCAGACTAAAAATAGTGTGTACTTTATCGGTAACGATCGGGCACATTCCAAAAAATATTTTAGTAAACTCCACGGTAAAGGTTACCAGAAGGAAAAGATTTTATCCTATTTTAAATGACGTGGGTCTACGCTCTTGCAAGCCGATAGACATCAGCCCAGTGAACTCATCTAACCAACATATTGGAGTTAACTAACATTTACATTAGATACAACCATCGTTGTTTCCCAAAACCGATATTTGTTGTTAGCGATGAAATGAGGACCATTTTTGTTATGTTCAACTTCGTATCATTGTCGACTTAAAATTGTGCAGCATTTGGTAACAACCGTGCGAAGCTGCTCCACTGACACTTGGGTATTAAAACAGAAGTCAATAAACCAAACATTTACTGGGATCTCCAGCGACCAAACAGGAGTGCCTTTGTTAAACACCTTTTGAATAGGATGTCAACGTAAATAGGGGGTAATGCCTTCGGGATTGGTCTGATTGTCCAAGTGATTTGAACCGGAACGATGTGAAAACGCTGGAGATTATTGATGTAACATAGTGCATTTTTGGCAGGGGGTGCTATCATTGGATCTATTTGTAGTTTGAAACGCAGGATCTTAACTGAACGCGAGCACATGATGCCACAGTTGGAATGTAAACAACTGTGTCCTTAGGTAGTGCACTGTCTGCGGCGAAAGATTGGTGGAAGCGTATACAGAGTGCATTCACGCTGAAGAAATAAACGCTCGCGCGTCATTCGTTAGACAATACGACATACTCGAATAGGACAACTATGTGCAGAGTGAAGATGTGTACTTCGACTTTCTCTTCCCGAGCGGTTTATTTTGTCAGGCCTTACTAGTGGCACGATCCTAATGCACGTATTTTGCTGTCCTATCAGGTCGGATCCTGGGATTTGCGGCTTGATTCCAGATTGTTGTGTGATTAAACCTAGCGCTATGCCGGGTGGTCATTTCTTTATATTGTAAAGCCACTACAGTAGCTTCTATTCAACTGAACTTATGTCTTTTGTGAACGGTCTCACCGTTTTCTTTTCTTGCTGATGCTGTATACATGTGAAAAGCCAATAATCTACTAACCAAATAACTGTCAAACTAAGAACCGAAATACTTCAACCGACACTCCTCTCCCAAAATACGGTACAATCTTTGGTACACAGAACTGAAAGTTGGTTTTGGGGTGGGTGCACTCTTTACACTACAAAGTGGCTTCGCATGCTAGGATTTTTTTTATTTTTACTGTATTTACTTGAGGGATTGTAAAAAATTGACATAAAATGCGAAATTAACTATATCTAACCCATTCGTGTCGTAGGTGTGTGACTCATTTGCCCAATATTAACAATCATTTTCATTGTATCCATAAAACGTATTTATCCAGCCTCAGCGCGTCCCAGTGAAAGTTCCCACAGGACGGAAAAGACTCAGATCTAGCATGCAATACCCATGGGAATAGAAATATTTTCTGTCTAAGCATTATAATTCCAAATCATTTGAAACACCACAAACAGTACCGTAATCAGGCGGCTGAAGGCTCAAGCTATTCACAATCACATAACCAAGATGAGCAGACAGCATCATTGGATCCTGGTGTTTATCTTGTCTTAATGACCCACCCTTAATGCTTTGGTTTCAACATTTTTTGTCTGTCGTCAATAGCAATCTGGCTTTCATTTTATCTAAATTAGTTTGTTGAATATACAACCCATTTTGATTGTAATATGGGCATGTTCAGGTCCACCGAAGTGATCCAGAATACTTTTAGCAAGCCAGTGTTTGGAGACCTCCTATCCTAACCATCCATTGAGCGTACTTTCTCCGAGCTTGGAGAACCCTCCAACACCCATATTTGCATTGAGAGTTATCATCATGCAACATTGTATCTAGCGTGTTTACCTTATCTTTATCGATGGCTGAAGATTACAATGTACCTAGCAAACTGGTAGTGAAACAATAGCACCTTAAAGTGCAATACCATTAAAGAATTCGTTCATTGATGAAATAATTTGGATGTCCCTATCTCTAATACGCAGCGAGAACCGTAGTGGGTGAGAAAGTGTTAACGAGAACCAGTGACAAGAAGAGAGAAAAGTTCTGTAATTAAACTTAAATAGATTGATAGGGTTAAGTTTCGCGGTCTTCGCCGCTCATCGGGTACGTATATCCAGCAATCCTCAGTCAAGTCATTATTATATTTAGTTGTCCTTCGATTGTGAATTAAGCAACGGTAGCTTGATCCCGCATCTCCGGCAGTTGATTCGAGACAAATTAACCTGTTTTGCATCAAAGAAGCGAAAAGATTTGCATGACTCAGCTGAACTATTTTAACCGGAAATGACGGTTATACGTGAGAGTTGTAATCTTGTCATGATCACCTGTGACCGTCAATAGATTAAATTGTCCATCTTGTGCACGTTTGTGATCGCAAGTGGAATATGATCTCGTTATCAATCTAACTGTTAGCGATAATCCTAGACCTAATGCAACTGCACCCAATAAGGATTTTGTATCAGATGGTGCGCAATGGCAAGGTAGAAACTGCTTCGATTTTCTCCGATTGATTGATTGCGTCGAGTGCAGTAATGCAGCTACAGTGTAATTAATGCACTGACATGAAAAGCAGTACATGACTCGGGTCAGCTTGGTGTGCGATAATAACGACCGAGAAGTTGAGCATGCTGGTCTTTCCATAGGGTCACCCACAATAGGTCAAAGGTCATGATGTGATCAGGCTGCGAAACTACACGGATTTCGCGAACCTTTTTCCAGCACGAAGAGATAAGTTACCATCGTGCATACATACGACAGAAAGGACAGAACTAAACATAACTGGTAGCGAAACGAGAGCTTGAATGTCAAGAAAGAATTCGATCACAGATACAGAAGTGACAAGAAACGTGTTAACAAAAACCAAATGGGATTAACTCTGCTTACGGTCTGCATCGTTGAAAACAATTAATGGGCTCTTCCCACCCAGTTCCAGAGTGAGTCGTTTGACTCCATGCTTGAAAGCATTCTGACCCACCAGGCGACCCACTTCAGTAGAACCGGTGAACGCGATCTTATCGACATCCGGATGAGCCACCAATGCAGCACCAGCGGTTTCGCCAAGTCTGAAAGGATAGGTTTTCAGCGCGCGAGAGAGAGAGAGACAATGAAAGAGATTTAATATTTGTGTCAAGCATGAAACGATAGGATTCTGACTGACGTTAACTGGAGACACTGCAGGGTAAGGCACCAAATCGAAGCCCATGGCATGAATGCACTTGGTCCTGGCTGCAGTCCCCAATTGGTCAAAAGTGGTTTCAGTATACAAGCAAAACAGGTCGCTTTGCCCTACAACAAGCTGATTCCTTTGTTGAATGCATTTGAGAGCGATAGAAGTCTTTATGATAACTGAAAAAGAGCACCGAACAGTGCCTCGTGCCTGTGAAAAGACTGAATGGGCTAATCCAAACATTTACAGTCCAGATTCCTTTTGTATTGTTTTTTTTACTGCTTCTGTATTCTTCTCTTAGCCGTTAGTTATTTTGGTTATGTACCTATCTCTTTATTTATCTAATCTAATCTAACTATTTACCCATCTACCTGCCCATCTATCTGGTCATTTCTCTCTCTCATATATATATATATATATTATATTCAGTTTCAGATCAGTTTCCACAACCATTAACTGTACACTTTCGTGTGCCGATCATAGTTGCCTTCAACTAAGACTTTGGGACATGACGTACTTTGCGGTAACCCACACCGTCTAACGGGCTTTTCTTTCAGAACCCTGACTGGAGACTTCGACTAAAAAGTCTGACCCACAAGGCAGTGGGGCTTAGATCCAACGCGCGAACGTGAAGTAACCACCCAAGTGCGAAATTCTAAAGACCTGTCACGCAAAGCCTTCGGGTTTCGGTTCAGTGTGTTGTTTGCTGGCGCGTCAGTACATTGTCCGGGATTGGTCTTTAGTCTCTTGCACCCAATGAGACAAGCGGAATGTTGCTAAGATAACACATCATTTTCTGGATGCTGTCTAGCTTCCGTGAGAGCTAGCTGTCCACTGAAGGGCAAGCACTTCTCCCATCTTCGAGAGAAAGACCCAAGTACCCCGCTCCTACGTTCATCTAGCGGGGTTTTTAACCGCAAACTGCCCCTCATCGTGGTTATTTACTGAAGTGATTGAAATGGATACACAAAGAAGTTCAGGCGGTGTCCAAGTAGCTAATTTTATGAAACTCAGCTTCGTCTGATCTCCGCCCATTGACTTTTCAGGTATGCTTGGATGTGCAGCTGTGAGGAGCAGTCCTGTGTAACTCACGGGGTTGTGGAGCCAAGGAATCCATCACACCACGTCAAGGTGCAGTCTCGTCCTGATGGATATAAATATATATATATATGTACATATGACAGTTTTGTAAACAACGGTGTTGATTGTTGTTTTTGTAGCTCGGGTAGTAAAACTTGGTGTTCAGTTGTTCGCCGAGCTTGGCAATTGTATTGCAAACGTTTCACCACCAATCAAGGTGGCATTCTCAATGCAGTAACCGGGTGAGCGCTTACGAGTGTCCCTTTACTTATATTGGTCGTTGAGTCATGTAGAGATGTGACGTTGCCTGATTGCTTGATGTTTGTTCGCCTTGTGTCGATAGGGGATGAGGTGAACGCGAGCAGTCTGACGGCTGGTTGTTGATCGATCGGTCGAATTGTTACTGTCGTCCTGTTGTGACGTGTGACATGACATTCACCTCCATCAACCTCGATTTGGCCAGGGAAACCCTAAAGGAGCTGCTTGAGGAACGACAGGTACATCAAACATCGGATCGCAAATATATTTGTGAGCTGATGGACTTATGCTTACAAACATACTTCGAA